GTATCTGTTCCACCTGTTCATGACGTGAATATTCTGCTGACTGGTAAATGCTTATTTTAGAATAGTTTTTCCTGTTGATGTTTGGCCCTCTGCCCTCTGTGTACTGTACACTTTGTCGAGGTGGAAAAACTGTCAAATTTCTTCAGTGAATGCTAATATGTCATACCTGCCTGTTACTGTGTGACTGTGGTTACTGTCGGCTCAATGTGTGGATGATAATCTCCAGGTTGCTGACTTCCTCTCGGCTGCTTTCTATCTGACACATACATACATTATTATTATACATTGTATAAGCTACAACAAACACTGTATCTCAGTCTGGTTAACTGATTTGGACAACGTCTTATTAAAAGTTAGATTTTATTTTGACAATCTGGAGTGTAATAAAGCCGTTCTTGTATGAATTTCATTTCTGTCCTGGCTCAGCACTAACGTTGATCTCCCTCTGCTGGCAGGATGGAAAGAGGATGTTTGGTACGTACTTCAGAGTTGGAATTTACGGCTCAAAGTTTGGTGACTTGGACGAGCAGGAGTTTGTGTACAAAGAGCCGGCCATCACGAAGCTGGCGGAGATTTCTCACAGGCTGGAGGTAAAGTCCACCATGACGCCTCTTCTCCTGTAACACCACTCGTCCTACACGTCCTCCTAGCCAGGTGTGCGTTTACTCATGAGGTGCTGTGCTTCTCAGGGTTTCTATGGAGAGCGATTTGGAGAGGAGCAGGTAGAAGTCATCAAGGACTCTAACCCAGTGGACAAGTGCAAGCTGGACCCAAACAAGGTTGGTGTTGAGCAGAATGTACATGTGAACGCAGTTTACAGTGATTTCATTCAAAGCTTTAGTCTGAGGATCCATCTTCAACCGAGGGAACGCCATCTAAGACCTCAACCAACGATACGTTGTCATTTCTGTAGGCGTTCATCCAGATCACATACGTGGAGCCGTACTTCGACACGTACGAGATGAAGGACCGCATCACTTACTTTGACAAGAACTACAATTTGCGGCGTTTCGTCTACTGCACCCCCTTCACTCTGGATGGCCGGGCCCACGGGGACCTGCATGAGCAGTTCAAACGCAAGACCATCCTCACCACCTCCCACGCGTTCCCCTACATCAAGACCCGCATCAACATCATCCACAAGGAGGAGGTGGGGGGAACACGTTCACACACAGCAACTGACCTGCAGAAGCTTTTCCATTCTTTTTTTATACCTGTTTTAGTTTCTCTTGATTGTTTTTCTCAGACAGCCAACAAAACCATTAATAAAGATTTTGCATTTTTATACATTTTATCTCCAGCTGTGGGAGGATGATATTCTGAAAATGAGGTGTTTTATCCAACTCTTGAGACCACTTGTATCCGTCACTTTGCAGATTATATCCACACCCATCGAGGTGGCAATAGAAGACATGCAGAAGAAGACTCAGGAGCTGGCTTTTGCCACCCACCAGGACCCTGCTGACGCCAAGATGCTACAGATGGTCCTACAGGGGTCAGTGGGCACCACTGTCAACCAGGTAATGGTTTAAGATGTCACATGTATATGCGATAAGAAAAAGGAGCATTATCAAAGTATTGCTTAGCATAAGTAGAGTCGTAGAGGAATAGTCATGTCTGTTGTCCTCAGGGTCCTTTGGAGGTGGCTCAGGTGTTCCTGTCGGATATTCCCAGTGACCCCAAGCTGTACAGACACCACAATAAGCTACGGCTCTGCTTCAAAGACTTCACAAAGAGGTACGGGCGGTGAACGGTGAATCCACAGGGGCAACATAACGGAGAGGTGCAACATTTGACACCAAATTATAAGAAAACAAGCTCTAAGTTATTGTTCCGTATGTCAAAATAATGAGAAAACTACGTTTAACTACAATTATAGTTAAACCTTAAAATGTCCAGATGCCTTAATAAGCCTCACTACAATGATTCTCCATCTACAGTAGCAAGACAAAGTATCGTACAGAGTCTAAATGCCAGTTATGTTTTGTCTGCCAAAGGTGTGAAGACGCCCTGCGTAAGAATAAGAGCCTGATTGGTCCGGACCAGAAGGAGTACCAGAGGGAGCTGGAGAGGAACTATCACCGGCTGAAGGAGGCGCTTCAGCCCCTCATCAACAGGAAGATCCCACAGCTTTATAAACCTGTGCTTCAGGTCAACTCCCACAGGTAGGGCTGGACTGTGTGCATGTGAGAGAATAATACAAGGTGTCAAAATCATTAAAAGTTTGTAAATCAATGTAGCCACAATCAGGCCCTTTAAGGTAGAGTATGTAGGAATTTCTTAAAAAAACAATGCATGGACTTACGTTATGTGAAGGTCCCTTTAAGTGTTGTCAGACAAAATCCAAAGGCGCTGTGGGACAGCAGGGGTCAGATGCAGAAGATAATGTGTAGATTCACAACCCAAACCGTGTGTACGCACAAAGACATAAATATGCTGACCCTTCTGTTCATCGCTGACTGTGTCGGGTCGGTAAGGTCCTTCAACACCAGAAGAGCCGTCGTTACTCACGGTGGCCACGTTCAACGGTGGCTTTCTGTAGCGTCCATACCAGTAGTTCAGCACATGTACCTCTTTTATTCAATATTTCATGACATACTGTGACACATTATGATATGACTTTATGACAAACTGTCACTTTTCTCTACCTTTTTCCCCACATGCTATACAATGACTTTTTTCGACATACTTTACGATGCCATCACTTTTTTATGACTTTATTTGTATATACTATACTTTTGGGACTTTTTTCGACATACTATTCAGTTTTTATAACTTTTTTGGATATGCTTATCTTTTTTCATTACTTTTTTCGACATTCTATATCATGACTTTATTTGACATTTTATTATCTGACTTTTTAATGATTTTGCGACATACTATACAATATCGTTTTTTACAACATGCTATACTAGGACTTTATGTTTTTTTTTGACAGCTCATACTATGAACATTTTGACTTTTTTCAGCTTTTTTTCAATATACTATACTATGACTTTTTTTCGACCTGCTATACTATGACATTTTTTAAAAAACTTTTTTAAACATACTATATGTTGCCTTTACTCCAAATGCTTACGATATCTTTTTATGACAATACCATTTCTGATATGCTGTATGACTTCTTATGACTTCATGACATACTATGACATACCATGACTTTTTTATAACAGTATTGTATGACTTATTTATGACATAATTAGTGCTGGGCAAGTTAACTCATTCATTAATTAACGCAGACAATTATTTTATCGCGCGTTAACGCATTTTTTTTATTTATAAATTTTTTTTAATTTTTATTTTTTTATTGAAAGACAAGAGACAATACATATACATAACAACAAGAGGATGACAAGAACAGTGGGATAAAAGCCAGCAAACATCCTATAGTCAGTAATTTTAGTGCACCTATATGCTGAAATTCACGGTAAACGCATTTAAACGGCACAGACCCGGAGCGAGCGAAGGACTTTGAAAGTTAGCGGAAAGATTAACGTGAGGCAACATCCGGTTTCTTCAGACGAACATCCGGTTTTCAGAATAAGATGCCAACAAAGTATGAATTATATTCACATTAAGTATAAAACATGCTACCTGCATCTCGTGAACCAAATGTTATTGCCCTTTTGTTCATATAGCAGTACTTTTAAAATAAAAGTGCGCAATACACTACTTTTGAATTCATTATTGAACTTTGCCATAACAATGCGATTAATCGCAAAAAATCCATGCGATTAAATATTTTAATCGTTGCCCAGCACTAGACATATGTTTTCATCACAGACTTTATGGTGGTATCTTGCAATCAGTCTATAGTAAATGTAAGTCAGTGTTTTGCTGATGTAACCGGTTAGAACTCAAAGTTGCGATGACTTCCTTAAATGTATGGAAAGAGTCTTAAAAAGTATGAATTTGAACTTAAAGGATTCCTGCATATACCCTGCAATCGTTTTGGATGTGAACTTAAATGAGTCTTTGTTTTTGCTTCTTCAATAATCACGCAGCAAACGGACAGCTTGACAAGGTAGCTCGGGACTTTCAGACTACATCTTGTGATCCTTTTGTTTTAGTGTCTTTGTGTTATTTTCTAAAGGACCTTTTAGTACTCCTAGCTTCAGTCTTGCTATTCTCACAAGTGAATTCCCCGAGTCACTTCCTTGTTCAATGAAAACATCCGATATTTCTGTCTTAATGAAAACATCTTTTTTTTTTTTCTTCTTGTTTCAGAGATTCCTTCAGCAGAATAAGTCTTCGCAAGCTTGACATTTGAAGATAAAGAAGAATATAAACACACACACCAGAAATTGCAATATTAATTTATTATTCTCGATTGTAAATAGGAGTCTCTTGAAGGTTGGTCAGTTTTTTCGGAGAGCATGTCAAAAGAAAGGCTCAAAGTGTTGCAGCTTGGTACGTCATTCCAGTGTCTTAATGTGTTTACATACAAACTGTTACACAGTCAGAGGGACATTCAAGTGGATCTTAAAGCGATGCCTCGGCATTTACAATTTTTCTTTGCTGGCCATTTGTCACATAAGGGGACACGTCTGTATACGTCTCTATGCTACCACTACAAATGTACGAACATTAACCTCCACAGTCTGCTGAACACAAAGGATGCTCTGCGGTCCCTTTATTGGTTAGTCAAAGTGCCAAAAAACACTTTTTTCCTGCTGATTTTTGACAGGTGTCTGCAGAAAAGGTGTCTAATGGTGTACTGTCAAAAATCTCTATTCAGTTTCATGTGTGCACTTTTTTAGTATGGTGTAGCAATGCATTTTACATTGTGATTCAATTGGGGGAGGGGGAAAAAAAGGTACCATTATTTATCATACTTTATCATTTTTATTTGAAAGAACGTTTTAAAGTTAGGTACTTTAAACATCCTTGTATTATTTTATGTTTTGTTTATTTTAAATATTTTACTAAATAAATATTTTAATGTTGACTTTGGTGTACGGGCGTAATGTTTGTGTTGGCTGTGAATGAGTATCACCAGATGAAGGTAAAAACTTTATTGCTTCAGAATTGAACCTGACGACAACAATAGACTTACAGCTGGAATGAGTTTAAAGGAGACAACACACAACTTGCTGATCGTTCATGTGTATGATTCATAGTGAGTATTAATCACAACCAATTCAATCCCTGAAACCATGATTGGACACAAACACTGCTGTTGAACCTGAGACAATGTCACCGTTACTGAATATTTTCACATGATCAAACAAAGCTATGTAATTAACACAAGCACAAAACAAACCCTTAATAGTAACATGATTATTTGTGTGTTCATAGGGACAAATTCTGATAACGTTACATCTTCTAAAATGTATGTTTTTGTTTTGGCTGATTGTGAAAGATGCTGGTCTCTCTAAAGGGAGAGGGCAGTCTGTTTATTCACTTACACAGTCAAAGCATTTAGTCTCATATTGTTCACACACTGGACGTATGAAGATAGTAAACAATCACATCGACACCATCGGATGTGAGCGATCCTGGACCTGCTTACTTTAGTCTCATAAATCTGTCTCTGTGCACTTTTAATTCCTTCCTGTCTGCTGCTCAATCGTTTTGTCCTAAAATAACTTCTTAACTGATCCCCTTCTTTAAAGAGTAGTACAACTGAATGCGTTCCGTCTCACTGAGCACGGATTTGACCCGTTCTCTTAATTATGTTTCATTAAGCTTTCATGATATGTACCTGATAGTTGACTAAAGAAATATACATTTTATGGTTTAAATATCTTCACTCTAGATTTGGATCTTCAAAAGGCTGTAATGTATAACCTTTGCTTATATATAAGTGTGTTTAATGTAAAGATATGCCAGTGTAAGAGTCGTAGCATAGAGGACTTGCATGTCATGCTTCAGATGTATTAAAAAAAGGCTTCAGTGCAAAACAGAAACTCTGAAGTTCTTATAGGAGGAAAAAGTTCTCTTCATAACTGCAGCGTATTGCTTTGAAATGGAAACGCATTTTGGCTTTGAGTTGAGTAATCTATTCCAAACATGCTCAGCACCGACAGTCTCTTGACAATATAAATTCATTTTAGAAAAAGACAGTCTCCATTTTCAAATACGATTTTAGTTCAAAAGTGATTTTCCAAATTGTAAAAACTTTGAGCGAGTGATAGACGAGAGAGATAATAAACAGAAAGCAAAAAGACCGATCACTGTGCTTAACAGAGAAAGGGGCTAAAGCAATCCCGCCACACAGAAGATTTAATTCCCACTTGACTGAATATCTCTAAAACCTAAACAGGCTCGTGAACATCTGAGGTGAGCTCAGGTGTTGATATGGCAGCCACTGAATGTGTCTGGGTGTTTCTCTACAAAGAGTCTTTCTGCGCCCCCCCCAGTCATGTCAGTGCTGGGGTCCAGGCATCCGTCTGTAGAACAGCAGGTATGGTGTTGATGAAGAGGAGGTCTCAGGAGAGCAGGCTCGCAGGAACTCTTCCTCCTCAAACAAACGCACCTCAGAGTCGTCAAACAGCAGCCACTTGCCCTCATAATCGAGGAGGCTGTCCAACGCCTGCACCCCTCCACAGGAAGTGGTGGATGCCTCCTGTCCTGCTTCACTACTCTGGCCCAGGCTGTTGGTGGGTTTCCTCCGTTTGGACCCCTCTGATCCACTGTTGGCTGCTTTCTCCGTGTGTTTGCCGTTGCTCCCGAGCTCACAGCTGGACCGACTCCTCTGGCCGCCCAACAGTCCGACTCCACCCTCCGACTGCTTCTTTCCTCCTACTTTGCTGCTCGCCAAACTCGCTCCTCTCCGTCCCCTCGCTCTCAGGCTGAAAGACACCTCTCCGTCATCGTAGTCCGGCAATTCAGCGTTCACGTGGGCTCCCTCTTTATTCTCCTCTTCTGCCTCTTTTCTGTCCCACAGCGTCACATCTTTCAGATCAGACATGCGGACGTAGGCGGTGTAGTGGCCGCTGCTGATGGTGACGCCGCTGTGCATGACCACGGCAAACAGCTGGTAGCGTTGACCCTTGGTGGACGAGGAGCCGGTGCACCACTCCTCCAGAGACAAGGTCAGAGGGGTCTGTAGGGGGGTGTTCACTTTGGACAGACCTGCATACGGGTCCAAGCTACGAAGACAGGAAACAGGGGGAGGAGTTAGGATCTGTGACGGGACCATGACACTATTCAATTGAGAATTTAGGTGAAACCTTGCCTGTTTACAGTGTGTAAAGTCATAAAAAAGTCATTGTATGTCGTTTTTTTAGTAAAAGTACAGCGTCATAAAAAAGTATATAAAAAGTCATAGTGTAAACAATTTTCAAATATGTCATAGTGTATGTGTATATCGATCGATCTGACGATCGATCGATATACACTATGACATATTGTGTCTATGACAATAGACACTATGACATACACTATGACAAATCTAATGTGCACTTTCGTCAAACATTTATATGATCCTTCGTACAGCTGGATGTCGCTTTTATGGTTCTAAACTTTCTGTGTTTTACTGATGATATTTTTATCCTTCAGGGGTAATAAAAAGCATTATTTGCTATATAGATAGATAGATAGATAGATATAGATATATCCAATTTGCGCAGATATGACATTGTTTCCCAAAGAATCTTGAATATCTCAGCCAAACAAAGCTAATCATTTATCAACAAATCAAAAACATTTTATGCCAAGTGTCGTATTTAAAGTCTCGTCTCAAATTAACCGTTTGAAGTAAACAGATAATGTAAAAACTCATTCAATTCTGCGCTCGCAGCACAACTAGGAAGCCACGATTGACTCGCCTGAGACCAACAGTCATGTGACCAAAACTTTGAGAGACTTCAACTGAACTGCTGCTGAGATCATTGAAGAGAGGAGAGGCTGGAAGTAGAGGCTGTACACATGTACATAACACATGGAGCCTACACCGGTACCACTTGTACAACTGTTGGATGTATACATTCCAGTGTTTTCCCATTTTTGTAAAATAAATGACCATAGAAATTCAACTTGTGTTCTTTCTTTATGATTTATGGCATGGTAACTGGTATACTGCACTAAACACCACACGCATGTATCGTCTACTTGCCTTGATTAAATGGGTTGCTTTTTTATGTAAGCACTTTGAGATTTAATAAGTAGTCTATACATAAAGTTTATTAATATTATTATAATCATTGTTATATTTGATCAGATATTGCTCAAGTTTTAGATGTAGAGAAATAAAAGATCCACTTCACACTGACTGACTGATGGCATGAAATATTCCAGAAACTCCAGAACCTTATGTGACCGACCGTTTCAACACAATTGCATTGATAGAAAACAGCTTGGGCACATGTTTACCTCCTGTCAGCTGATGTCATTCACATACTCTGCAAATTGGACCCATATGGAATGTTTATGTTTAAATCTGTGAAATCCTCCATAAATCAGCTAAATCATGAGCCTCTGGACGATTTGTGTGCATCTTGACGGACAAATGCACGACCACAGGTTTATTTAAAAAGAAACACCTTCCACCCGTTTCCTTTATGTGATGGATCAACGTTAGCGGGCGTTAGCTGTTGCAGCCCTACTATAAATAATCTACAATATTTTGTAAGAAATTACTGAAGGATAGCAGACAGAAAACTGAGTGAAATGACAATAAATGTGTTCAAAAGTCATCAACTCACTCCAAGCTGTTGGCAGAAAAGCGCTTTAGGTGGATGGTGATGACTTCGGGAGTTTTGTCAAACAGCAGACTCCTCTCGGCCTCGGTGTAATGGTGACACGTCTCACAGAAGTACTTGTCCTCCCCAACGATGCGCTCCACTGACGCAAACTGAGCGATCGCCCACTTCAGAGTCTTCAGCTCTGGTTTGGGATCAGGAGAAACTGGGAAGAGAGAAGATATCAACTCATCATGATCCGGGACTTTGAAAAGCGTTGTTGTACCGACAGCTGTTTAAAGTAAGAGTCCTGACCCTTCGAGAGCTCGTCCGGGCTGCTGGGTTCCTCGTCGAGCACCGGGACACTGATGTCTTGGAAGTCTTCTCTCCTTTCCGTGAAGCTCTCACACTCCAGACAGCGAGTCCTCAAAACCAGCTGGCCCTGGAACAGGTGCTCCATCAAGTCCAGGCCCTCTGGGTAGAAGAGGAACAGCTGCATTTAATGCCTGAAGTCACGTTGATACTAATGCTGTCTGCTTGTACAGGGCAGAGGCTAAATGAACAGGAATACGTTTAAGAGATTTCATATTCATCATTCTACTTATTGAATTCTTCATTTCCTGCACCTGGCTAAATAGATCCCTCATATTAAATTCCTCTCATAGTAATGATCTCATACCCTGAAGCTTTGCTGCCTCCTCCTCGTCAGCCTTCTTTGGAGGCGATGTCTCTTCGCTGGTCTTCTCGCTGGGACTTCTCTCGTCAGTCGGCTCGTCCTCCGGCTCCGGTTTGTTTTGGTTCTTCACGGAGCTGATCTTTCCCACGCTGAGGAACTTGGAGAAGATACTCGGCTGTTTCCCTGAACGCCTCAGCCAGCTCAGCTTCGACCTCTTCTTTCCTTTCCCCTCTGCTTCTTTAGACGCCTTGTCACCTTTCCCCTCACAATCGCTGCCTTTCTCCTCCGCCCCGTTTAGCTTCATCTTTTCATCCTCGGCCTCTCCGTCTTTCACCACGACGTCACTGAAGGACTTCCTTTTGGAGCGGGTGAAGGGCTTATTAACCTCGGCATCAGATTTCTTAGACTTGACAGATTTGGGCTTCTTCTTGGCGTTCCCCACTTCAGTGTCACTCTTCCTCTTCCCGCTGACTTGGCCGTCCTCTTCTGGGGGAGTTTGGGATTCTGTCGCCGAGCTGCCGTCCTCAAGTTTAACCTCCGTCTCATTGGCATCGCTCTCCGACTCCTGCTCCTTCCTGATGGTGTCACAAGCCTCTTGGATATATCCCAGGATGCATTGCATCACCTCTTGGGCATCATGCTGAAGATAGCCTTCATACATGGGGTTCAGCAGCCTGCAACCCACACAGAGCGCTCACAATTAGTTCACTGATGGGGAAAAATAAATAAATAAATAAATATATATATATATATATATTTTAATAATTGATCAACTGTTTAAAGGACTAATCAAAATATAACATTTGCTTGTTTCAGCCTTAGAAATGTTCTTTGGGGTTTTTGACTGTTGCTCAAATGAAATACGTAATTTAACACCAGTTCAGGTTTGTCAACATGGAATTTTGCAAACACACAACTTGCTTGTGATTTTTACTGAACAGTGAATGCATAGTTTTGTCCTACATTACTCATTACGTTGTGTAGAAATAAGCTCATTTGGACAGCCATGATGAAGATCAGCACATCATCACCTGAGTGTGTGGAGTATCCTCCGAGGCGGTGTAGCGAGCTCTCCTTCACTGAAGCTGTCGGGGTTCAACAGGAAGCTGGACTGCAGCTGCTCCGCTGATGTTATGAGACTGTTGAAGCTCCCGAGGAGCTCGATCTGAGCCGGCAACGCCTCAGCGGCAACTTCTGACTGCTGAGAAATAAAATACAAACTAAAGAATGAATCGCATTCAAAGATTTTTAGAATTGGAGCTTCGTATCTTGTATATCAGATCCACTTAAAGGAATTCTTTTGAATTTGTGATGTCGATTAAATAGGTTAATTTCTAAAGCTATTGTTTACAAATGTAAGTTTTGTAAAATAAAATTGAATCACATTGTTATTGCACTAACCTCTTGGCTTTGATCCGTTTCTTCCTTGGGTTTGTCTTTTCTTTTAGACAGGGTGTAGAGTTTCTTTATTCCCTCTCTGAGCCCCGGGCAGTAGTACAGCACCTGCAGCAGCAAGCACACAGAAATCATCTTCATGCTCGTCACAAACAAATCACACACTGAGAACACTTTGCCTGACAAATACTGAAGCTATGACATTGCTATATTTGTTTTATTGTCTGTGAGTGATAACAATTACAACAGGGTTTCTGTAGGGTTCACAAAGTTAAACTACAAACCTTTAAAGACATTATAATACGATAGTGTTTCACTGTCTCTCCGGCCAAAGCATGAAAGATATCCATGAAAACCAGAATGGGTGATAAGGCCTTTGAATTATTTACCAACTGCTTCAATTCATTGACATTTATAATCACATTTGTGTGTACCTCCCAGCAGTAATCCTGACAATATCATTATTAACCTAGACCTAGACAAGCAGCAGGAAATGGACAGATGAACCACTTAAAAATAACTTATTACAAATCATCCACATGACTTTTATACAAGGTCTGTGGTCTGAAATAGTAATGTTGTGGATTATCAAGCCAATATTTGCTTAAATCACATACAAAAACATGGTATAACTTAAGTTACTGCATACGGCAGGCTGACATTATTTCAGAAGTGAAATCTTAAACTGAATTGAACCTTTTTTTTTTTTTTTTTTAATCCTTTAAAGCGGGCGGCTACCTGAATGTACACAATAATAACACAAGTAGTGAAGTAATACAAAAGTGAAAAGTTTCCTGCTTTCATACTGCATAAGAGCTCGGCTTATTGTCTAGCCAGTGGCCTAAATGAAGACAACACATATTGTATTGTATGTTCTTCCTTCAACAAAGAGGGAAAAAAAAAAAAAATTCTTATTCCAAACAAGAGATGTTTGGAATAATACCTGCTCTCCACTCAGCCCTCACTCATCTAGAAAACAACACCACCTACAACAGAATGTTGTTTGTTGATTTAGGTCAGCACAAGACAATCACCCCCATGAAACTGGTAAACTTAGCACGCTGGGCTTCAGTACCTCACTCTGCAACTGGTTATTAGACTTCCTCACAAACAGACCCCAGCCCCTCCTCCACTGGAGGACTTCACATAGAACGGAAATCAACAACCTTGCACAGTGTTGCTCAGAGAACAACCTACTCATCAACGTCTGTAAAACCAAGGAGTTGATCGTTGATTTTAGAAAAAAAAAAAAAAGGAGACGAAGACGCACACCCCTGTCTACATCGATGGGGCTGAGGGGGAGCAAGTAAGCAGTCTCAAGTTCCCGAGGATCAGCATCACAAACAACCTGACATGGTCCTCACACACCTCCATCCTGGTGAAGAAAGCTCATAAACAGCCGTATTTCTTAAGGAAACTTAAGAAGGCAAAGTTCACTTGCCATGTTCTTGTCAACTTTTACAGAGGAGCAATAGAAAGCATCCTGACTGCAAACATCACAAACTGCTATGGGATGTACACAGCCCAGCCCAGGAGGGCTATACAGCGGGTGATTAATACCACCCAGAACATCATAAAATATATGTTTTGTCTGTGGTGAGAAGGACCCACCTGTAAAATACTGTTCAAATAGCAGGTGTTGCCCAAGTTGTTGAAACCCACAAATGGCACCAAGCCTTCTCTCTTGTCACATGACAGGAGAAGGCCAGGTGAGGCTGGACATGGAGAAGGACCGGGGACCTGATCACAGCTGCTGAACAGTGAAGAAAACAGTTTGAAATTAAAAGAAACATCATAACTTACTAGTTACTTGTTTGATTCTTGCAGTTTAACAAGGGCTGGACAATATAGTTACAATCATTATCCTCTGTTGTACAATACTTTAAAACAAACTCTTAACATGTACATAACCAAACATGACTAATTGGCAAATTTCCCAGATAAATCACATGTTCACAAACAGAGACCCACCTCGCCTCAGGCTCCACTTGTTCAACTGTTTTGGGCTCATCTGCTTGAGGTTCAGAGAAGTCCAGAGCCCGTTTAGTGTCTTTCTTGTGGAGGAACTTCAGAGACAGTTTACTCCTCTTGATGGGGCTCCCCGGCGCCGCCGCGTTCTCACCCTGCAGACCCTGCATCTTTATCACTGCTAACGTTGCGTCTTTTTCTCTTCACAGAGATGCAACAGCGCACCTCACTGGAAAGAAAAGGGAAAACATAACTGAATTTCAGTGGGCGCCATCAGAGTTTCACGAGAACGAAAGTTAACTACGCCCTGCGTTTGGTTGTAGTTACGTAACGCTAACGCACTACAACCAGACTAGCTAACGTTACTAGCTAACGGTGATGGAGACATGTCCGGTTCAACCGAATGAACAACGAGTTATATAACATGTTAACGTTAGCCGACTAACGTACCGGTGGCTCTCTTATTGGCGCTGCCCCGCTCAACATTTGAAATAGAGCCGTTTACATGAGCAACCGTTATCTGGTTTGCGTTAGGAGTTAGCTAGGATGTAGCAAATAGGGCACAACAAACAACACAGAGACAAAACTGGGTCAAACGGTGTGGTGGTGGAGTAAAAAGGCAGCGCGCAGTCTTTTTTTAACAGTTCGCTTAAACAACACTAACTTTGAAAATCCCTACATTGTCTGTACACTCACCTGAATTAGTCATGCCAGGTCGAAGTCTACTATATTTCGCGGAGTATCCGGTAAATACGAATGTTTGGGGATTCAGACGGTGCGGCAGAAGTTGGCGCTTTTTCCTGACGGAAGACCGGAAGACCCACAGGCAGCTATACCGCCGGTGAAACGGCGACACGACATCAAAACATCCGGAAAAAACGTCCAAATAGCAGTCAGCCCTGGTATTAAACGTATTTCAGACGTATGCGTAACGCTTGTAAATTAGCGTGTGCGTTTGTAAAATTATATAAGCAGAAATAGTTGCTTTTAAGATCTCAGGCTTAGATTAAGTCACCTAATTAATTTAGGCCCCCGTGGCCATTCTCGGAAGCAATTTTTGTAGTCCTTTATCTTTGTAGTCCTTTATCAAGCTGACAGAGTTACAGTGAATAACACCGGCAGTGGGAGATTATTCTTTCAAAAAAATAAAAAGTGAGGAAGTATTTGGTTGAAAATGATTCCTGCACATGCTATTTAATGAAGAGTCAGATTAAGATACAAATAAAAATGAAAAACTTTGTAAAGGCGTTGTAATTGCAGTTTTGCTCATAACCTAATACTTTTGTAGCTTTACAAAGTCAAATTTTGGATGCAGGACTTTTACTTGAAAGTCTACTTTTAAATTCTTGTATGGCTACTTAATTAAAGGAAATTAATAATATACTAATTCCACCACTGCTCAATTGCTTCCTCGGCAACGAACAAAGACACTTTTCATTTAATTTTAAATGTCATTTTAAATGGGAACTGAACGATAAAAAGATTTGTAGCCTTTTCCAAGAGTGGTGAGTTGATTAATGGGAAACTGTTTACGCGCCTAAAACACTGCATAAACTACAGATAACAGTTTTGATACAAATTATCATATTCTGACCAAAGCAGTGTACAGAGAACGAGGCATGTTTTCTGCAATTCTGATTTACAGAGTAGCAGGGGCCTTCTGTTGAAAAAGGTTACTGATAATCAATTCAATGTATTTAAGTATGTAGAAATTAACCAGCAAAAAATATCTATCATTAATCTCGATGCGGAGCACTACATGGTGTAAAGGTTCGAACACCTTCTCTTGGATTTTTTTTTTGTCTTAAAAATATATATTGAAAAAATATATACATAAACATGAGGTCTGTCTTATCCACACACATGGTATATATTTTGGCATATAAGTAGCCATATATATATATATATATATATTGCATTTACAGAAAAAACAAATTGTGTATGTTTTAATTACTGAGACACATGTCACAACACTTGCTCTTCGCTATATTTTAGGAAGACATTTATTTTACATAAACATAAAACAGCTCGTTAACCGGTTAGAAACGGTTGTTTCGGAGGCAATGTCCACCTTCAACTGACAGGGGGCAACATTGTACACGTAAACGGAGGTGGAAGTGTCGAGCATCATTCCCTCCTCCACCGGAGCATCTCTTCATCTGACAGTCAGCAGAGGCTATCCTTCCACGATTTTAACGGTAAGATACTATTTACCATTTTTCGGCTTTTTCTACGCGATTCAGATAAACTCAAATCAGCTCGAAAGGGTGACCGCAAGAGCGCTTTATTTCATCTGTGTTTCGGCTCATCTGCATCAGTTGTAGTGTGTTGATTTCAATACAGGAGCGACGGAGTGGTGTTGCTGGCGTGCGTGTTCATCATACGGGGAGGATCGCGGCGATTGAACGCAGAGCAAAATAATAAAGCAAGGACAGGTGTGTCGTTGCCTTTCACACACCCAGTATAGGCATTTGATGGCATATACGACGTAGAGGCTATGCGGGACGAGCCGCCGCTGCAGCTGCAGAGTGGCTGCTTGGTCAGCAGCGAGGATGTGTCGATGGACATGGGCTAACCTACTGTGCCCCAGCTTCCGGAATCACTCTATTGATTTTATGGCTTGGTGATCAAGTGATGTTGCAGCAAGGCTGCTGATACAGTAGTGGACGTTGGGACTTTCTGTGGGGCTGTTAGCCTTGTGGTGGTGATGGAGCTATACAGCATGAACTCACCATCACCGTCCTCAGAATATGTTATCTTTGCAATCAAACAGCTTCAAACAGTGCATTTCTTGCACTCAATGTACCAGAAACCCATACATCATTTACACTGGGTTGGAATTATCTTAAAGCCCACACAATAATGTTTAACAAATAATTGCCTTATGAAATAGATTTCATTACAGATGTGATAACCAGCGGGGAATGTTTCCAGATGTAACACTGGTGGGGAGGTGTTATGTTCTCCCACATCCCATCTAAAGCCTAACCAGGGGATGCATTATAAAGAAGGATTACTGTGTCTCACCTCCCCCATCACCTCCTGATAACATCATTTTTTTGCATATACTCTGAACAAGGCAGAGCATGCCACCCATGTCCTGAACTATGTGAAATCAACACAAGGCTTTGCTTTTTGTTGGCTATTACATTACACAACACAGTGGAGGCAGCAGGATTGTTTTGAGAAATGAAATGGTGGCGGAGTTGTACTCTCCATGAAATGTATTCCCGAATGCCCCATTGAGGGAGTTTTCTTTTTCTATTTTCAGATGACACAAAACAGGAAGAAAGACATCCACCTGTTCCGCCTCGAATTTGTAAAATAAAAACTGCCCTCACTGTTAATGCAAATATTTCAGAAATACCGCCTCATATTAGCCCACCCAAGAATTTAACCCCTAACCTGTCGGAGTAATGAGGGCCATTCTCCATGTAAGCAATGGAGTTGGCCTTTATCAAGGCAGGCTTTGTCCCAGGAGGCACAGAGCTCTCACGGCCAGAGCAGCAGAGGTTGAGCGGTGTGGCAGCTCAGAGTCCTGGCCCATGACATGAAACACCCCCCCCCTCTGCAGCCTCCACCCAACTTCTCTCCCAGGAGGGGATCACTGGAGGGAAAATGAAAGCATGTTGAGCGACAGGCAATGGTGCACTCCAAGAATGAGAGGCATGTCCTGAAGTCTACTTTAGTTTATCTCTCAACAACAAACCTCTCTGTACACAAAAGCGCACCTTCTTCTTTGCAGACCTGCAGGGTGTGGCAACACTATTTAGCCATTTAATTACAACAAACAAACACAGTATGAAATGTTAATTAATGAGCTTTAGCAGTGCTGGCAGGTGGATTTTGTTACCTTTGGACAGAACCGAGCTAGCCATTTCCACCTGCTTTCAGCCTTCGTGCTAAGCTAAGTTAGCCATGCAGGGAATCTTAGCATTGAAGAAACTGAAATCAGCAAATGCTGGACAATTTTGACAAATGATTAACTTTAAATGATTCACTGATAGTTGTAATTGTTGAGACATTTTTTGTCTCTTGTCTAATTCATAAAAACACGAGGCAATGTCTAAATGTTATCACAGGTTATGGCCTCAGTGAAGACATGGAAGTGATTTTTCCCTTTCAGATCGATTCATTTTGAGATTTGTTAGAGGCTGAAAGGGTTAAAAAAAATACAGCAACTCACAAGATTAATCAACTTTTTCAGCCTTTCAATGTCTGCGAGCACCAAGATAAACTCATTTAAGGCTGTTTTTGCCATGACGACTGTTATTGCTTTGCTCTCCCATCTGCTAGTGTACTATTATTTTCACTGAAAGTCCCGGCAGACATCTCACACAGGCTCTGTTCAGGCGAGAGAGTACATTTGTGTGTGTGTGTGTGTGTGTGTGTCAGTAAAAGGGGGTTAATGAGATCCTTTATGAGTGTACGCATGTGTGCGTAACCTCGCATGCATATGTGCATGTATCAGATCAGATTAGGAGGATTTCTCCCTCGCTCCCTCTGCATAGAGAGACTCCCATTTGATGCATGCTGACGAGGTGGGTGTATCCAGCCCAGCCGCTCTGATGTTAGGAAGCAGTAACTCTTCCATCCTACTCAGTCTGCTCTCTACTCTCCCTGTTTCAGCCGGTCGGTCTGCCCTCTAGCGTAGGACTCACCACCTTTTCACTCACCACTCTTCATCACCATCCAGGATACATTCACACAAACCTACGCAGGTAGACAGAACACTGTCCCAGTGGACTGAAGAGTTTGGCTGATAGACACAGATGTATGTAAATTACCTTGGAAAGTGCTAGAAAGTAGGGATCTGTGGTGGTGCTGTTAAAGCTGTAGTCCCCCACCCCCCACTACGTTTTTTTGTCCCAAAGGATACCACACACAGCCGCAGAGGTAAGGGAAGGATAGATGTGGTCTGCACTTTCTGCGCTCTCATTCTTTCTTTCTCAGCTGTTTCTTGTGTGCCTCCTTACTTATCCTCTCATGTCACTCTACAGTTATTGATTTATTCCTTCTTTTATTTTCATTCGGTTTACCCTTCATGTGCTACTATCCTGTGTTCTATGTTTCCATTTTCTTTTCTCTCTGTCTGCTCGTCATTTTAATGTCATTTCTGGAACTGAATCTACATTTTTAAAACCAGCACACACACACACACACACACACACATACAGTATATATATATATATTCCAGCCATGCTGTCAGGACTCCAGCTGTTATCATCTCTCTCTCTGTATGCTGATGTATATTGTTCTTCTTGCATCTGTGTGGTAATCAGATGCTAGAAGCGAGGCATGCATGTAGATATACCGTCAAAGGGAATCTCTCTCTCTCTCTTTATTGTTATCGGTTTGTCTTCTACGGCTCTCTACACTGCTTGATCCCTTCTCTGAAACATTTCGTCAACTGGACCAAGTTTCAGTCAAATTCCCTCCTGGCCTGACTAATGTCTTTCAGCTGGAGCCTGACTCGTGCACACATTCACACGATCACGAGACACACTGTAGAAAGCACGGTGGTTAGGCAGTGGAGAGAGCTGAGAAGAAATAGCAAGTGATGGTTGTTATTTAGAGTGATCATATATGCAACTTTTGCATGGTTGCTTCTTGGCGCTATGCATACATTCACTCTGCATCTTTGCTTTGCTTGCCATCCCGTCGGTTTCTACCTCTCACTGTCCCTAATGCAAAACCTCCCTGTCTCTCTCCATCTCTGCTCTTTTACGGTCTGTATTCAGAGTTAGTCTTGGTCACTGCTCTGCCGGCCTGCCACAAAGCATTGTTCATGGTTGGTTGGCTAACCGCAGCTACACAACATTAAGGCGTTCCTGTTACATGGGGCATGTATACAGGGTGTCACGTTGTGTGTGTGTGACTGTGTTCTGTGCTGCATTCACTGACATTAGGATCAATCCATGCTCAGGTTAAAGGGCACATTGTTATTCATGCACACATACCCTGTTCTCCAAGATTTGGCTGACCCGCATGTACGGTCCCCCGCTGTATGTGTGTGTGTGTTTATCTTTGCATATGTGTGTGTGTGTGTGTGTGTGTGTGTGTCAGCGTGATTTCCTTGGAAGTGCAGAGAGGTGACTCATACCAACTCACATGCTGGTGGCTGTTAGGTGCATTCTCTGTAAAGATGCCATGATGTGTGATTTGCTAATAGGCACCGTCTGATGAAACCGTGGATCTGTGAAATGTCAACTTTTCAGGAAATGAAAACAAGCAAGGCCGCGTCCTTTTTTTAAAAACTCGCCAACCATGAATTTTTAAGGTTGTTGAGTAAGATCTGAGAAGGTTTTCTAATCTCAAATCTCATAGCATTTTCTAACACATTGAGGAGCGTGTCATCCTTTAATTAGAGTTGAAAAATTAAAATAAACTAATGTTTGCATTGTATTAACAACATTAAAATGATATGTTTGTATTGAAAACTGAAGAGTGGCCTCAGGGACTGCAATGTCTGTCCGTCCACGACTTTGGTCCAGACCGAAAAAGATGTTTGATGGATGGCTATAAAATTTGGTACAGACATCCATGTCCCCCTCAGGATGAACTGTAACTACTGTAATGATCCCCTGACCTTTCATCTTGTGCCATCATCAGGTCAGATTTTATAAACAAATAAAACATCTGCAAAACTAACGACATTCCCATCAGCCTCAGTTGTACTTTGTGTTTAGTGCAAATTAGCAATTAACATGCTGACGTGCTAAACTAAGCTGGTGAACATTGTAAACTTTATACATAATAAACATTAGCATATTAGTATCATCAATGTCAGCATGCCGATGTTAGCGTTCAGCTCAAAGCATTGTTGATCAAATTGCCAACAGAAGGGAAAACAAAGAGGATCTTCTGGGGTAAACTAAATGTCATGAATAGTCAGATAGTCCACTTTGGTCCTGCAGTGGAAATCAGACCATTAGGAACCAAGCCTTAGGTAGAACTGTATAGGAAAGGCTTAGCAGCTTAATCTGATGGAAAGTGTATTGATGCACAGAAATGGACACACACACACACACATGCACACACACACAATGGGCCCACCCAGAATCTGTAGCCACTCCAGTGAGCATCTTAGGATGGCTGCTCTGATTCAGAGCGAGGCACGGTACACTTGCTTCTTTCTGAACAACTAAACATGCTTTGCCTTTCTCCCATCACCACCACACCAAATAAACTCCGGTTCTGAGTTTGCGTGATCATCACGATAATAATTATTCTAATTCGTTATCAACTGTCAAGCTGAGAAACAACACACAACCATATGGCAGACGACACGATTCCTTTACACAAACATTGTAGTGATGAGTGTGTGTCTGGCGCATCTGCACCAGTGTTACAGGTTGTTTTCTCACTGAGCGAGATGGGCGGTAACGTGCGTGGTGTGTGTGTGTGTCTGTGTGTAAAGTTGGCCGGGGCCGGTTGATGCCAGCCTGTGCTCTGTCTGGACTGGCCGAGTGCCCGGCGCTCCCGTGCGGCTCATGTCCTCCAGACTTTCACATCCACCGACTCCTCCTAAGGCTTCTCTGAACCTGTAAATGCTTTTGTTGGCCCACACAGCGGGAGTGTGTTCGCTCAAAAATGTGTGTGCCGAGTTGATTGCTGAAAGGGATAAAGGTGCTCATTTTCTTACTGAACCAAATAATCCCCTACACAGGCAAAACAAAGTGACTGTGAGCTTTCAAAAACACTTCCTTGCAAGTGTGCTTGAGTTCCAGCCTTGCAGGGCGACGCTATAGGCTGGATTTTGTTATTGTTTTATCTCCGCAGTATTTCTAGTTTAAAAAAAAGAAGATGTTCTTTTATTGAACAAGTGATAGAGCCTGGGCTAAGGAGCTTTAGGGCTTCTTAGCTGTGCTGTGGGAGGGAGAGGGACTCCCTAAACTCTCTGTCTGTCAGTCAAAGAAGCCAAAAAACCCTCGCTGAGAACACACAGATACATGAGAGCCAGGAGTCAGCAGGCTCACACACACACACACACACACACACACACACACACACACACACACACCAGCTGAGCGAACGCCTAGGGCTATCACTACTAATCTCATTCTCTGTTGACACACTATTCCTCAGCTGTGCCATGCTTTCACAGCTCTGTCTCTCTCCATCTTGGTGTCCTAAAGCCAGAGGTGTGTTCCCTCCTATCACTGTCAGCAGAAGGGTGAGTTCACACCGCGCTGGAGGTGTGCGTATATGCTTTGTGCCTGCAGCACATCTGCTCTGCAAACCACAGCTTCCCACAGACTGCATGCCTTTAAGAAACAGTGGGACTTTGCAGAAGTTTAGATGAAGTTTAGATGAAGTGGCTCTGTGGTCGTCAGGTGGTGTTTTAGCGGTGGGTAGAAGTGGGAGGAGATTCTCTAAGTAAGCTATTTCCTTAGATTACACAGTTCGAGTGAATACATTTAGAACAAATTGATTTCAACCCAGTGTCAATTTACTTTATCTTACAGCTTTTTCTTTAATATTTCTTTTCTATGGACCACATGTCTGGCATAAGTCTACCATTATAAATATATGGATTCAGAGAAAGTGTGAAACTTAAATTTAACTTTGACAAAATGAAGAGTTTGTAGACATCAGCACTTTGCACCCTGACAATTCATGAGTTTGTTGTGGCTGATTCAGCCCATTTTTGAACCGTAGCCAGCTACCTTGGCATTAAAGTCATTGCCAAGGTAGGCAGATTTCTTTCTTGGCAATTTCCCTTCTTAAGCTCAAATTCTTGAGCGGCCCAAATTGTAGAAAATAATTCAACTGATCAGTCATCACACACACACCATTTGTTGTCTTCTAAATGTCTATGAGTCATCTCTATGTGTCTGCAATGATGCCTTTCATCAGGCAGGCGTAGTTGTGTCATACAGAGCAAAATCTATTCCTATTGATCACCATCACCCCTTCAACTGCTGGAATACAAAGCTTTAAGCGGAATATATAACTAAACACCATGTTTTATCAATTGAAAGCAGGTGGGCTGCCCCATATTTTTCCGTCTTATTGCAACTTTTCCTTTAGTGTGTCCCATTTGATGTATTGAACATAGATTAGGATGAAATGCAAAGGCATTTTTTGCTGATCAAAATCAGTCAAAAAAAGTCCATTTGTTCCACAGATTCTTCAAAACAGCATTTCTCCTGTTTTATTGTAAGTGACCTGGGAGGTGACGTAGGAAACACCAAGTTAATATTTATTGTGTGATATCTTTATCTGATTCTTCTTTTGCCTTTCTGTCAGAACAACGCTACTGAGAAGTGTTTCCAGCTTTTGTGCTCAAAAAGGGGAACCTGGACAGTCAATGAACACCTCAAAGATGAACAACGTGTAATATCTTCTTGTGACATATACCATTGTCAAACAGTCCAGACTTTGACAACCAGTGTGTTATGTGGTGCATAGATTTGCATTGTTAATCGGTACGTGTGTTTTTGATGAGTTTCCATGGCGGGTGAGTTTAGCTGGACAAAGGTCACTGAGGTGGGCTTCAGTTCAATGCTGAGGGGAACTATGGAGATCAGAGGAACAATAAAAGCTGCAAGGCTTTCCTTTTTCCTTTTCTGTCCGTGCACTCATTGGCTTTGGAGGTAGACCTTAAGGGACGGGCTTGTCAGTGTTGCTGACTTGGCAACTTTCTCGCAAGATTTAGCGACATTTGAAACTAGTGCTGATAGCTACTTTGTTGGCAGCGCTGGGCTGGGTTTTGTGGTTGGATTATTTTTCGAAATCTAGTTTACTCTTGCTAGTTTCTCAAGATTACCAACCCTAGCTTTTAAGTATGGTTGTATGGTAATTCCCAAAACTGCCCCCCTTGAGACCTAGCATTCACAGTAATGGATTATCTACAGTGTCCACCTGTCTTGCTATTTATACTTATCTACCTC